TTTTGAATAAAATTGTTTTTCAGTTTCTTACAGACTTTTGACTCAAAATAAATTAGATCCCGATATTCAAACCTTCAGTTTCATTGATGAAAATAATCAATATTTTAATAAGAGAACAAACAAACAACCAGAGTGAACTCTTTATTTGGAGAAAAATCTTTGAAATCACTCAATTTTTCCAAAGTCAATGAATTCATCAAGAACAACATCTAAGTTCTAGGAAAAAGTTAAAATCATGCCATTAGTCTTTTCATACATAAAGATGTAGCTGTAAGATGACAGTTTTTTTCTACTTTTTTTGTTTATAAAATGACTTTTTCTGACATATTTCACCTCCGTTAAAGAAATATTCATGTAGAAAAACAGTTGTCGTCCGTCTCAATAAAGCAAAAATACAGAAATAAAAGGCGTAATAATAATACACTACGTTACAATGCGCTGACATGGCTTCAAAGCACACATATTACACTACTGTACAAGGGTTTCCCCCACAGACACAATGCAACAAAAGCACATCCACTGCTGAGGATAGATCAAACCTGTGAAACAGCTTAACACTGCTTATTTACTGAACCCTGACCACAGAGTGGCGTTGGCAACTGGCAAATGAGGTAAATGTTTCTAAAAAAAAGCACCAAAAGTTTGGCTTAAAATGTGCTTAAAATGTAGATATTTATATTTATATTTATATATATATATATATATATAGCTTATACAGAACGGCAAATTGAAAGAATTTCAGTCCAGCTTCTCCAAACGGTTTTCCTTTATGTTTATTTGATTTTTTTTTTTCCTTTCAGATACACAAGACTGGAGAAACAAAGCACTGAATCTGCAGTTTTGGTTGAGAAGCCGCTGAATTCATACCGCCAGTTCTGCTCTGAGTAAAGTAAGCAGCATTCTTCCATGTCTGAGTGGGACATTAAATATCAATGTTTAGAGTGAAATCCAAGCAGAAAAAAGGGAAAAAAAAGTTACAGATTTGTCTTACATGGATTCACTTTTACATAAAAATCTTAATTAAAGGGAATATTTTATTTTTTTAAAACATATATAATTGCTTGGAAAGTTCTCAAGCACAAAGTTTGTCACTTGTTGAGAATATCTACATAAATGTCAGTAAGAATAGTTCCTACACTGTAAAAACACAAAATCTTACCAAGTATTTTTGGTCTATTTTTTTAGTGCAAATATCTTATTACGTTTGAAATCAGACAAAATTAACTCATAAGGAACTTTTCAGCAACATAGAGGAGCTTGTTTTAAGTAAATCTCCTAATTTTGATTTTAAAATATACTAGCTCCACTGGCAGATTATTTCACTTATAACATTTTTCCCATATTTTATCAATATTAAGTAATTATTAACTTAGAACAGGCTAATTTATCTTGCTCAAAAGTTATCTATAAGTTGATTTTGTCTTATTTCAAGTGTACCAACTTACAAATAAGTTTTCAACAAGATAGGTGAGCTTAAGTATTCATTAATACTGATTTTTAAAAACCGTACTAGTTCCACTGGCGGATTATTTCACTTATAATGGGGCATTTTCCCCATCTTTTATTAATATTAGTTATTTACTTAAAATAAGCTTTTAGGTGAGATCTACCAGCTTATTTTAAGCCAATAACTTCTTAAAATTGAAGAAAAAGTACTACCGTAATTTCCAGACTATCAGGTGCATTTAAAAGCCTTTAATTTGATCAGAAACCGACAGTGCGCCTTTATCTGGAGTAAAACAGCGCCGTCTAATGAATTAGTATGGATTAATTTTACCTGTTTTTTAGTGACCTCGAAGCGATTTTGTGCGGTACACGGCATGTCGAAATGTTTTGGCTACACTACTTTACGGCTACCGTAGTCAGGAGCGTCGCGGAGTAATACGTACCGTGCTTTCACCGACTAACTGTCAAGTTTTGGAGTTGAGAATACGAGAAATCTGTATCCGTCCGCTGCCGCCGTCGAAGCGGGTGGGGTGGTGGTGGGTATATTGATCTGGCGGTGAAAACCACCGTAAGAGGTGAGAGCTGGGCGGAGGAAGTCAATCGACGGCCGTAAGAGCCGGGGTTGACTACGTAATTACGTCGTAATTACTCTAATACGGGAGCACAACAGGACAGCTATCTTAGTTTTGTTTTGCTTAATGCGCCGCATAGACCAGTGCCCTTTATTATGAAAAAAATATACCATTCATTCCAATGCGCCCTATAGCGCGAAAAATACGGTAATTCTACTGCGTATTAAAAAATCATTTACTTAAAGCTCATATTTCCTGCTGAAAAGATACTTGTGAGTTAGTTTTGTCTTATTTCAAACGTAATAAGATTTTTGCCTTAAAAGTAGAGCAAAAATTCTTGATAAGATTTTATGTTTTTGTTGTGTACAAAGCTTAACCTGCGCATCATAAAATGTTTTTATTAAGAAACATCAAGGGAAAGTGAGCGAAAAACTGGGAAACTAAGGGTCTTTTAAAGATCACCTTCAATGCGTTAAAAAATAATAATAATAATAAAAACAACCTTAGGCCAAATACTTCAAGGGGACACCGATATCTAGAGCTAAGCGATGTGCAAACTTAACTGTGCATAGAGATCAAATTGTAATAAATATTAATGTGGTACTAGCATTATGACATGTTTTGTCAAAACATGTATGGGTGATTGTACATTTTTATTTAAAATTTAACTTTACTAAAACATTAAAAAGTTTTTTTTGTTTGTTTTTCTTTTACATATATAGTGCTGTTGGAAAAGTTTTTACTTTTTTTTAAAACAACAATCATTTCCCATGAAATGTTAGCCAGAGTCTCCGAAGAAACAGCCAAACACTCGACAAAACAAATAAAATAAAACCTGATAAGATTCGGAGATTTTTCAATTATTTCTCCAAGTTGAAAATCTTCTATAACTTTTCTTTTTTTTTCCAAATTGCTCTACACCAAAGAATCACATGAGCAACAAGCAAACGGGGTTTTATAATAAGCAAGAATCTTTACATAGAAGAACGTTCGAAGCGTTCAGAAAGAAGAAGAAGAAGAAAGGAAAGGCAAATGGCTCTATTTTAGCTTTAGTTTTCACCGTTTATTCGTTTGATGTAGCTTAAAGATGCGAAGCATAATGCCTGTCTTTGGACCACTGAGGTAATTGTTGGTGTGTGTGTGTGTAAAACATGCTGAAATGTTTCCTTAAACAATGTAAAAGAGAAACTAGTGTTCCTCTGAGCGTTTCAGAGGTTCCGTCTTAATTCGAGGTATATGATGCCGGGGCTGACTGCTGGCGCCTGTGGAAAATCTTACCAAGCATTCAGACAGATCAAGGTGAATTTCATTCACTCTGCTGTGCTGCGTCTTACAGTGTAACCCCCCCACTAATCCCACCCACCCACTTCAATGATTTCCTGTAGTCTCACTGCTTCATCTGCATCAACACATCCCTAAAAAAGCACCATGTGTCGCCCTGGTTTGTTCCTGAATAATCCCAGGTTCCATTCACCTTCAACTCGGTTCCTTCAGGAGTCGCTTTTTATTATTTACATATTTATATACATTATTTATGCGTGGAGTAATAGAGTTGCAGGTGGGGTTGGCGGTTATTTCACCACTTTGCCGTTTCGCCTTACAGTTTTGGTCGCTTCCTACCTGAATGTTTTCAGTACAAGCACAGCTTTCCTCCATACCAAGAATGAATTGATTAATAAATACAACCAGTAAATGATCATTTAGATTTTCTATTATCTGTTCTGTTTTGTTCCCCCGTAAGGGAGTGTGCTTATTTGATGCTGATGCTGAGCTGGCCCAAGGCACAAGTGAACTAAGCCACTGCACAGGGCCTCCAGGCCAGGAGGGGGCCCCAGAAAAAGGTAAAATAAATGAGTACAGAGAAGAGAACGTTCTGCGTTGGCTTGTAAACACCAACTTTCCTTACTAGCTGCGTTTCCATTTACCTTAAAATTGCGAAAATTGGAATTAAGAAAGTAAAGTTGCTTAATGGAAACATTGCTAATTAAAAAAAACAAGTTTTTCACTAGAATGAAGTGGTTTTTCAGCTGCACCAAAATTTGTGTTTTTCCACAAAACTGCAATGGAAAGACGTTTTTTTAGCATTACACGGGTCACATGATGAACAACCGGATGTTACTACTGGTGGAAATGACAAAGAAGACGACAGGAAGTGGCTGGATGATGATGATGTAGCATTTATTAGTCGCGTGCTAAATTAAAATGAGCTCAATAATTTCCATTTGCCTGATTTATCTTTTTTCTCTTTTTCTACCAAAGACTGGATGACAAAATTCTTCAGTCTGGTGTTTGGGTCTCAACTAGCCCTTTTTTGACGAATTTTTTTTTTTTTTTTACAGAGACTTCACAATTAATATTATTTATTGTTTGTGTTGTGTTTATTTATTTTTGATATTTAAAATGTCTTCCAGTTCATTTGAATTTTTATTAGAATTTAAAGTTTATTGATCTTTGAGAATGTCTTCTTGCATTATTATTTCATTACCACTATATTACTTGAAAATGGTCTCAAAACAATATTTTTGTTTATCGCAACAACTTCTGGACAATTTATCATCCAGCAATATTTATTGTGACAGACCTACTAATATGTTTTTTGTAATGATTTATCATGCAAACAAACTTTTTCAAGTGTGATTTTAATTTCGTTTCCATACCAAATGTGTGCCAAACTTTGTCACTAATCCATTTAAGTCAAAAACACACAACTTTGTAGTAGCCGTTTCCATTTAATAAGAAACAAAATTAAAATCAAATGTAAAAATGTTTGTTAAATCCTTAAAAAAAACAATGCGCCATAATCCTCCTGTGACTTCCTATCGTCGTCTTCTTTGTGGTTTCTACCAGTAGTAATATCCGGTTGTTGACCATTTGACTCGCGTGATGCAAAAAAAGTGAAAAAAACCAATTTTGATCAGACTGAAAAAAAAAAAAAAAAAAAAAACACTATCAAAGCGCCAAAATATATGTTTTTTAAATTTGTTTTTCGAAGCTGGCGTGTTTCCATTAAGCAGATTTATTTTCAAAGTATTAAATTGCGCATTTTGTCAATTTAAACGCAGCTAGTAACTCTTTCAAGTTCATATAAATCTGCTGCACACATTTTAAAGATAAAGCTGCTTAATCATGTGAACAGATCTTCAAATTCATTGTCAACTCACAAGTTAACACTTCATTACCGCACAGATGATTAAGTTTGAACAATTTATCTGAGACGTTAGTGATGCCGAGGTGATAAATAAAATTTTCTGCTTCAATAAATGTTACCCATAATCATAAATTCATCAAAAACAAACTACCAAGAGAAATAAAATTATCTGAAACTATTAAGTAAAGGGATATGAAATAGTTTCTTTATGTGTATGAAATCGAAGCAGGAAGTTTAAAGTTTACACGTTTAAAATTATATTAATTGCTTTCATTTAAAAATTAATTATATTACTATTAATGCTGCTCCTACATGTAATATATGGCTGTTTTATTATTATCGCTAATGTATGGAAGGTGTAATAAGCTTCCATTGTGTTGTTTATCATCTGTGTTAGCTTCCCTGGTTGCTAGCCTGCACAAGGCTGTTTATTTTACCAACAGACATCTAGCCGCATGTTGCATATATTAGCTTCTAAAACAGTGTTATCCAAACAGAAAAACTAATTTGTGTATGGGAGTTTCATTAACTTTTCTAGAATATCATTAGAAAGACTTCTTAGATCAGAAAAGAACAAACTTTAAGAGGTTTTTGTGATGGTGAGCTTTTAAAAACATAGCACCCGCTCATTCCCAGTCAGTTTTATGCAATTCATTCAACTCCGCCACCAAAGTAACAAAATAACAATCCCAACAGTTTATATTTCACTTGAAACATCCAACTGGTCCAGTTCAGGGTTTGCTCACCGACTAGAAATGGCTTTAAACAGATAGAAGAGAACCGATCCTGAATGAAACCCATCGAAGGTGAATGGAACTCATAATCTCTCTGGACTTTATGAAACAGGGTTTCTGCACTATTCTACAAAAATGTTTTTAATTCGATACTTTTCGAAGCGCTGCCCATACGTGTGCTGGATTTACCACTTTGCTCTTAGCAATACATCACAACACAGGAAACAAATAAAAAATTAAAATAAAAAATAATAATCAGGCTACAACTATTATTATAGCTTTCTGGGAACTGAACATCTTTTTCTCCTAAACCCTCAAACCCTGACTGAAGGTGGAGTTAAGCTAATGCAATAAGACATGTAAGCCTGAAGGCCAGGGGTGTCCAACGTGAGGCCCACGGGCCATTTGTGGTCCTTGGACTTATTTTGTGCGGCCCCCAACTGCAGTTCAAATATGATTGAAATTTGACCCGTTTATGCAGACAGAGACTTTCAATTCGTAACCAAGGTGAAAAAATGTTTCCGACACAGGAAATTTAAAGTACAACACAAAGTATTTGTGGTTTTAGAACCAAGTTTTAACAAAAGGTAAAACCAAGAGACTTTTACTGAAAAGCCAACTTTGCTGCACCCAGAATTATCTTTTATTCTTTCTTAAACTCAGCTAAAAATAGCAAACGGTTTGAAACAAAGTAACCCAGTTTCTGTTCTTATTACTGAAAATTTATTAAATTGAGCCCAAAGAAACTGAAAACTGGACTTTGTTCTTTTAATACAAACATGCAAAATCTACGAAGGAGTATTAGGGTCTTATAAAATAAAAAAGTAGCAGATTTCTGGCAAAAACCTTAAAACATTTGAGGGTAATCTCAGAAATTTTCTAGAAAAAACAAGAAAAAAAATTAATAAAACTTTTAGATTAATATCAGGAACTTTCTACAAAATTTTTTAATTGAAATGTCAAAACTTTTCTTTTGAAAAATTTAAAGTTTTCTAGAAAATGTCTCAGATTAATGACAAGATTTCTGAGTTTTTGGCAAAAATGTGATCTTTTTTTCTATCTACAAAGGTCCTGATACTGCCAAGTTTTGGATCTATAATATGTGAAGGCTACTTTATTTGACTGATTTTAGGTTGGGTGTTTTTGGCCTTTTGAATCTATATTTTCGACCTACGTGACGATACGTTTGGACACCCCTGCTTTAAGTGCTGTTACCACCAAATAATGAAAAAAAAAAAAAAAAGTGTTAAGCGTTGGTTTGAGGAATGAGCTAACTAATCTCCTCCTCCTCCTCCTCCTCTCCCCTGAATTTCCCTTTCTCCCATTTCCTCCTGTATTTAGGTGGAGGAAGCTCCATGGCTGGCCATGCTCGGCATGCTGCCAACCATAGCGGCTGAGCCAGCCATACCTGAGGTTCCTCCCATACCTGGAGGACTGTGCTTGGTAGGTGAGGTCATGTCGGCTCCACGCCCCTGACCCGGGCCGAGGGTCTGCGGGGCGTGGTGGGCGTGCTGCAAGGCGTGGCGGTCCAGCAAGGTGCGGTGGGTGAATGCCCTGTGGCAAACATTGCACTGGAAGGTGCGCTCGGCACGGTGGGTGCGCATGTGCACGTTCAGGGAGCTTTTCTGCGTGAAGCGTTTGCCGCACATGGTGCACTGGAAGGCCCGGACGCCAGTATGCACCACCATGTGTTTGAGGAGGTAGTCCCGCAGGGAGAAGGAGCGCCAGCAGATGGAGCACTGATGAGGTTTCTGACCTAAAAGACAAAATAAAGGTTTACTCAGTTCAAAGGAATGCATGTGTAAATTAGCAGAGTTGGGTAGTAATTAGTTACTACGTCTGTCACAATAACAAATTCTGATGGACGATAAGTTGTCCCAGAAGTTATCGCAATAAATGATAACATTGATCTTTTGAGACCATTTTCATGTAATATAATGGTACAAACTTCCAGAAAACTGTAAAACAGCCGAAACACTGAGTTCCTGTGAATCCAGTGTTTCTCTAAACCCAGCTGTTTAGAGTTTCTTTTGTGCCAGAATAAATGAAACACTAATCAACATTTTTGATGGGTAAATGACAAAAAACATGTTTTAATTGTTGATTTTTGAGTTTTTATGATAAAGCACTTTGAAAAGCCTTGTTGATGAAATGTGCTGTACAAATACAATTTGATAACAATAATGCAAGAACACATTTAGAAACACTTTATTTGAATGTGTGTTCATAAGACTGACGTAACACCTGCTATGAACATGAAGGAATCTTCATGAATGTTTATGACTGCTGTCATGATGTGTAATTTTGTAAATAATGACACTTTTATTGCAAAGTTTCACTAAAAGCTGCATTAAAATTAAATTAAAAGTGTCAGCTTTGCATTATTCTGTAGATTTTTAATGCAAAGTTACAATATAACTGTCATTATTTACCAAATGATGTATCATGACAGTCAAACATTGATGACGACTCCTTCATGGTAATCACAGCTGTTCTGTCATGTTCATGTCAGTTTTATGCAAACCTCTTCAAATAAAGTGTTACCACAGATTCTGAGATCAACAAACCTCTGAAGAACATTTTACACTGGATGTGGAAGACATTTTAAATATCCTAAGTAAATGAATAAAATGACAGAAACAACAATTAAACTGAATTATAAATTCTGTAAACAAAACTGTCCTTCAAAAACAGGTCTAGTTGAGACCAGTGAACCAGACTGAAAACTTTTATCATCCAGTTTTGATAGAAATGGAGAAAAGAGAACAACAACAAATTGCACAAATGGAAATTATTGAGCAATAAATTGATTTAGTGTTTGCGTCTACATTACCTGAAATCAATCAAAGGGTTCTAGAATTAAGTCAGATCATTGTGTAATCAAAAGTTTTTTCAGTTTTCCACTTTGTGCATTTTAATTTGAAAAACTTTTGGGACAATTTATCATCCAGCAAAGTTTGGTTTTAGTACAGAACTCACCCGAGTGGATAAACATGTGCTTGCTGTAGTTCTTCCTGGATCGCAAAGATTTGCCACAGTGCGTGCAGTCGAACGAGGTCTCAGATCCCTGGGAGGAAGGAGAGGGCCCTGCCGAACAGGAGGACGCTGAAGAAGTGGGGACGGGGGTCATCGGCGCTGGGGGCGGAGCCTGTTGGGACGGCTCACTTCCCGCCATGTTGTCCATCCCTCCCATGGGTCCTCCCACGTAGAACGGGGGAGGCTGCGAGTGGCTCACTGGGTACTGGAAAAGAAGCTATGGAGGAATACGGACAGATCATCGTAAGACAGGGTTTATGGCTGAAAAACCTGCCACAATATAAGCATTTCATATCGATAATGATCATTTTATTGTTTTAAATATATGAAACACTGACAGT